AAATTAAGGCAAATAACAAAGCACCTTTTAGAATAGAGCTTTTCGTGAGTTAAAAATGCCATTCTATGTTACTTCAGCCTAGAACTGAGGAGGTGCACATGGAAATCCTATGGCAAATTGTCTTTGGCATTGTCCCTCTTTGCAATGACAAAAGTGCCTGGAGTGTGAGGAGATTCGGAACAACTGTACATCATATGAACCCATCAACCCTCCCAATATTGCTATACAAAAATAATACCAGTCAACATCTAAACTGTACTTCATCTGTGCCACGCAATAATTCTTTTAATTTAGTTTTTGAATAGTTAACATATTTATATTTTAAACATCAAAATGACATAAAGAGGTAAATGCTGAGAAATCTTGCTCCTACCCCTGTTTCCATTCACATTGTCCCCATTCACTATCTTCAGTTAAACATTTTTATTCTTTTCTTTTTGTAAAAGTTATTTCAATGTTTCTTTATACAAACACAAGCAATATAAATGTAAACTTTTATTTTTCTCCTTTCTTACACAAAAGTAGCACACTATATATGCAGTATTACATTTTATTTCATTTTTCTTTTATTTCATAATTTGGGATTCTTCTATAGCTGTGCAGAAAGATCTTCACTATATTTTATTGTTTGGATGTATCATATTTTATTCAGCTATAGTGAATATTTACTATAAATTGATGAAATTATTAGAAAGCAGACTTCCTGGGTCAAAGAGTAAATGCTTAAGTAATTTTGGTAGATATTGACACTCTTCCATAAGGGTGATACCCCTTTGCACTCCTGTGGCATGTGAGTGCCTATTTCCTTGCAGTCTCATCAATAAAGTGTGTGGTCAAACTGCAGATTTTTGCCAATCTGATAGGTGAGAGAATGCTTTCATTTGTGTTTCTTTTTTATGAGTGAGACTGGGTATGTTTAAGAGGTGTATATGTATTTCTCATTCTGTGACCAGTCTGTTCATATCCATTTTATTTTCTGTTAGGTTGTTGGGTTTTTCTTGATTTCTAGAGCTCCTTATAATTTAAAGTGATTAGCTTCTATTTTTTGGTAAGAGTTGTAAATATTTTTCTACATTGTCTTTTGACTTTGCTGTTTAGTTTATCATACAGTATTATTTGATTTTATGTATTCTATCAATATTTTCTTCTACGACTTTTGTATTTTTAGTTACAATTAGAAAATCTTTCCAGATTCCAAGGTTCCAAGAGAATTTATCAATTTCTGCTGCCCAGTATTTTATGGTCTTATTTAATTTAAATCTTTGATTTATTTGGAGTTTATCTTGGAATCTGGTATGATAGATATGGATACAGCTTTATTTTTTTTTCCAAATGAGTAATTAATTATTTCAGCATTTCTTACAACCAGAATGAGAATGAAGAATTGAGATTCATATATTTGGCCACAGAGGGTTGTTTCTAACTTTGAGAAAATAATTTTTTTTGTTGGTTATGATGGAAGATCCAAGGGGAGACATTAGGCAGAGTTTTGGAGGTAGTTTTAGAGAATAGTTTTAAGAATAGGGCAATTTCCAAGAGGTGTTGAATTAAGTAAGGAGAACAAATGACTTATTTTTAGATCACATTAGAACCATGAATATCGGACCCAACTCTATAAAGCACCATTGGGTCTTGGTGGCAATTTTGAATATTTTATTCTAATAGAGTAGTACTTTAAGGCTCTAACTAATGTCATTATATGTATCTTTTAGCAGGAAAGTATAATTAGTATTGGTCTCAGTAAAGTTTGCTTGAATAAAGACTTTCTAAAAATTAAACTTAGATTTAAATAATGGTCCTTCAGGAATTTGTACAGTATTGGCTTTTTACATTAATTGGTCTCTTTACACTTCATCTATGTAAACATAATACTTATATTCATTTATCACAGTATGAGGAACTGCTCCTTAATGGGCAATACTTTCATTTGTTTCTTGACCCAAGTGGTAAAATATAAATTTCAGCAACTTCTGCTTATCAAAATAATTTCCATAGAAAAACAGAAAAAGCAGAAACATGAGTTCTACAAAAATAAAATGTCATTTAAGACAGCATGGTGTAATTTAATGCCATGAAACATTCTAGGCATTTCAACATTTTATTTTATGATTTATTTTTAAACTTTTATTTCAGGTTCTGTGGTACCTGTGCAGGTTTGTTATATAGGTGAATTGTATAACATGGGGGTTTGATGTACAGATTATTTCATCACCCAGGTAAAAAGCATAGTACCTGACAGGTAGTTTTTTTATGCTCTCCCTCCTCCCACTTTCCATCCTCAAGCAGGCTCCTATGTCTGTTGTTCTCTTCTTTGTGACCATATAACTCAATGTTTAGCTCCCACTTATAAGTGAGAACATGTGTATTTGGTTTTCTGCTCCTGTGTTGGTTCACTTAGGAGAATGGCCTCCAGCCTCATCCATGTTGTTGCAAAAGACATGATCTTGTTCTTTTTTATGGCTGTGTAGTATTTATGTTGTATGTGTACCATATTTTCTTTATCCAGTCCACCATCAATGGGCATGTAGGTTGATTTCATGTCTTTGCTATTGTGAATAGTGCTGTGATGAATATATGAGTGCATATGTCTTTATGGTAGAATGAGTTATATTCCTTTGAGAATAAACCCAATAGTGAGATTACTGGGTCAAATGGTAATTCTGTTTTGAGTTCTTTGAGAAATTGACAAATGGCTTTCTACAACGGCTGAACTAATTTACATTCCCACCAGCAGTATATAAGCATTCCTTTTTCTCTGTAACCTTGCCAGCATCTGTTATTTTTTGACTTTTTAGTAATAGCCATTCTGACTTTTGTGAGATGGTATCTTATTGTGGTTTTGATTTGCATTTCTCTAATGATTAGTAATGTGGAGCATTTTTTCATATGCTTATTGACCACGTGTATGTCTTCTTTTAAAAGTGTCCATTCAAGGCCTTTGCCCACTTTTTAATGGGGTTGTTTGTTTTTTTGCTTGTAAATTTGTTTAAATTCCTTACAGATTCTGGCTAATAGACCTTGTCAGATGCATCGTTTGCAAATATTTTTTCCTATTCTGTAGGTTGTCTGTTCACTCTGTTGATAGTTTCTTTTGCTGTGCAGAAGTTGTTTAGTTTAATTAGATCCCTTGAGTTTAATTGACAAAATTAGTCAATTTTTGTTGTTGCAATTGCTTTTGTCTTTATCATACAATCTTTGCCAGGTCCTATGTCCAGGGTGGTACTTCCCAGGTCATCTTCCAGGGTTTTTATAGTTTTGGGTTTTATATTTAAGCCTTTAACCCATCTTGAGTTGATTTTTGTATATGGTGTAAGCAAGGGGTCCAATTTCAATCTTCTGCATATGGCTAGCCAGTTATCCCAGCACCATTTGTGGAATAGGAATTCCTTTTCCCAGTGCTTGTTTTTGTTAGGTTTGTTGAAGATCAAATGGTTTGTGTGTGGCATTATTTCTGGGCTATCTCTTCTGTTCCATTGGTCTAAGTGTTTTGTACCAGTACCATGCCGTTGTGGTTACTGTAGTCTTTTAATATAGATTGAAGTCACATAATGTGACAGTTCTGGCTTTGTTGTTTTTGCTTAGAATTGCCTTGGCTATTCAGCCTCTTTTTTGGTTCCATATGAATTTTTAAGTAGTTTTTTCCTAATTCTGTGAAGAATTGGTAGTTTGATAGGAAGAGCACTGAATCTAAATTGCTTTGGGCAATATGGCCATTTTAACAATATTGCTTCTTCCTATCCATGAGCATGGAATGTTTTTCCTTTTGTTTATATCATCTCTGATTATCTTGAGCAGTGTTTTGTAATGCTTGTTGTAGAGATTTTTCACCTACCTGGTTAGCTGTATTTCTATGTATTTTATTCTTTTTATTTATTTTTAATTAATTAATTAATTATTATACTTTAAGTTCTAGGGTACATGTGCACAACATGCAGGTTTGTTGCATATGTATACATGTGCCATGTTGGTGTGCTGCACTCGTTAACTCATCATTTACATTAGGTATATCTCCTAATGCTATCCCTCCTCCCTCCCCGCCGGTGTATGATGTTCCCCACCCTGTGTCCAGATGATCTCATTGTTCAATTCCCACCTGTGAGTGAGAACATGCGGTGTTTGGTTTTCTGTCCTTGCAATAGTTTGCTGAGAATGATGGTCTCCAGTTTCATCCATGTCCCTACCAAGGACATAAACTCATCCTTTTTTATGGCCACATAATATTCCATGGTGTATATGTGCCACATTTTCTTAATCCAGTCTATCATTGATGGACATTTGGGTTGGTTCCAAGTCTTTGCTATTGTGAATAGTGCCGCAATAAACATACGTGTGCATGTGACTTTATAGCAGCATGATTTATAATCCTTTGGATATATATCCAGTAATGAGATGGCTGGGTCAAATGGTATTTCTAGTTCTAGATCTTTGAGGAATTGGCACACTGTCTTCCACAATGGTTGAACTAGTTTACAGTCCCACCAACTGTGTAAAAATGTTCCTATTTCTCCATATCCTCTCCAGCACCTGTTGTTTCCTGATTTTTTAATGGTCGCCATTCTAACTGGTGTGTATTTTATTCTTTTTGTGGCTACTGTGTATGGGATGGCATTCTTTCTTTATTGCACATCACCCTTTTATTATACTGATCTGGAAATAGGATTTAGTACAGTTATGCTCAAATGAACACTAGACCCATGTGGCAGGACCAAGCAACTAGAACATGATTCAGAAATCAGTGAAAGACACACGTGGACAGGACCAAGAGGCATTCACTGCCACAAAACAAGGCAGGGAGGGATTCTAAAACACACAGCAGGAAGCACCCCTGCCCCTCAGAGGTCAAGGAGCTTATCCCATATTGGTATGAGGAATGGCTTATTTTCTGAAGACCACATGTGGGACTATTTCAACCGCCACGAGAAACCCTTAGACGGGTTATTGTTTTGTATTACTTATATACACTAATTTTTTTTTTTAAATAAAAGTAAATGTAACACATTAAATTCAGGATTGATCCCAACCTTCTAGAGCCAGTTCCTCTGGGGTCAGGGAGGAAACAGTTGTCACATCACCATGCAGGTTACATTTATCTTCCGCTGGGATAACTAGAGTCCCCAGGCAGTGGCCTGACTACAGAAGAGCACAGGACTAGCTCCTGGGGGCAGACAGGCTCTCTTGCTTCTCCTCATTGGTCATGGCTTAGCATGGTGCCTCCTCACAAGTTCTTAGTAAACAAAGCACTCGCAAAAACCCAAGTCACTACCTTTGAACTCTCTTGGATAAGGGGGGGTTTTTCCACAGCTTAGACTGAGAACCTGTGCCCTAGAAGTGCTATTCTGACTAGAATGTACGAAGGGAGTGGGTACAGAAGACAAAATGGCTAAAATGAAAATGGGAGCCATCTGCAGCTGCAGCTCAAGATGTCTCCAGATGTGGTCAGTGTGATGTGCAGGAGGGAGCGGCAGATGGATGCAATGGGCAGGGAGGGTGCTCCTGGGGACAGCAGCCTGTTTGCTGGCCTTCACTTCTTGGCTTTGCCCTGGGCAGCGACAGCTTCCATGGCTTTGTGCATAGCCTCTTCATCCCCCAGGAACTGCATGGGCTTGATGGGCTTCAAGTTCTTGTCTAATTCGTAGACAATGGGAATGCCAGTCGGCAGGTTCAGCTCCATAATAATCTCTTCAGAGAGACCCTCCAGATGCTTGACAATGCCCCAGAGGCTGTTGCCATGGGCTGCAATCAGTACCCATTTCCCCTCCTTGATCTGAGGAACTATTTCTTCATTGTAGAAGGGCAGAGCTCTGGCAATAGTGTCCTTCAGACTCTCATAGGAGGGTAGGTGATTTTCTGTGAGGTCTACATACCCGTGATCCTTACTGATGTTGCTGTAGAAAGGATGGTAGGGCTCTGTCCGAGGTGTGGGACATCATAGGAGCGGCTGCAGATCTTCACCTGGGCCTCACCATGCTTTGCAGCAGTTTCTGCTTTAGTGAGACTGGTTAGAGCCCCATAGTGCCACTCATTGAGGCGCCAAGTCCTCACTACTGGCAGCCACATCTGATCCACGGCATCTAGCACTGTCCAGAGGATCCGGATGGCGCTTTTCTGCACTGAGGTGAAGCAGATGTCAAACTCATAGCCATCATCTGGCAGTGCCTGCTTTGCCTCCTCGTGGCCCGTCGGGCTCAGGTCGGCGTCACGCCGGCCGCTGAAGTGGTTCTTCAGGTTCCAAGCACACTCACTGTGCCAGATCTGCACCAGTTTGTAAGTGGCCATGGCGGCAGGCTTGGGGGACAGCATTCTTGATTTGGCTGTCAGCTTGGATGTTGTTGGTGCATAGGGATTCTACTGATTTTTGTACATTGACTTTGTATCCTGAAGCTTTGCTGAAGTTGTATATCAAACCAAGGAGTTTTGGGGCAGAGATTATGGGCTTTTCTAGGCATAGAATCATACTGACTGGAATCAGGGATAGTTTGACTTCCTCTCTATTCAGATGGCTTTTATATCTTTCTCTTGCCTGATTGCTCTGGCTAGGACTTCCAGTACTATGTTGAAAAGGACTGGTGACAGACGACATCCTTGTTTTGTTCTGGTGTTTAATAAGAATGCTTCTAGTTTTTGCCCATTCAATATGATGTTGGCTGTGGGTTTCTCATAGATGGCTCTTATTATTTTGAAGTATGTTCCTTCAGTGCCTAGTTTGTTGAGGGTTTTTAACATGAAGGGATGTTGACCTTTATCAAAAGCGTTTTCTGCATCTATTGAGATGATCATGTGGTTTTTGCTTTTAATTCTGATTATGGGATAGATCACATTTATTCATTTGTGTATGTTGAACCAACCTTGTGTCCCAGGGATGAAGCCTCCTTGATAGTGGTGGATTAGCTTTTTGATGTGCTGCTGGATTCATTTCATGAGTATTTTATTGAGAATTTTTGCATCTATGTTCATCAAGGATTTGGCCTGAAGTTTTGTTTTTTTGTTGTTGCTGTGTCCCTGCCAGGTTTTGGTATCAGGATGATGCTGGTTTCATAGAATGAGTTAGGGAGGAGTCCCTCCTCCTCTGTTTTTTGGAATAGTTTCAGTAGGAATGGTACCAACTCTTCTTTATACTTCTTGTAATATTCAACTGTGAATCCCTCTGGTCCTGGGCTTTTTCGGGTTGGTAGGCTTTTTATTACTGATTCAATTTTGGAACTCATTATTGGTCTCTGTCCAGGATTCAATTTCTTCCTGGTTCAATCTTGGAAGATTGTATGTTTCAAGGAATTTATCCATTTCTTCTAGGTTTTCTAGCTTGTGTGCATTAGAGGTGTTTTTAGTAGTCTCTGAGGGTTTTTAAAATTTCTGTGGGGTAGGTGGTAGCATCCCTTTGTCATTTCTGATTGTGTTTATTTTGATCTTTTCTCTTTTTTTACTTATTAGTCTAGCTAGCATTTTATCTATCTTATTTATTCTTTCAAAGAACCAAGTCCTGGATTCATTGATCTTCTGTATTTTTTTTTTTTTTAAATCTCAATTTCCTTCAGTTTAGCTCTGATTTTGATTTCTTGTGTTTTACTAGCTTTGGGGTCGATTCGCTCTTGTTTCTCTATTTCCTCTAGGTGTGATGTTCAGTTGTTAACTTAAGAGCTTTCTAACTTTTTGATGTAGGCATTCAGCACTATAAACTTCCCTCTTAATATTGCTTTAGCTGTGTCCCAGAGATTCTGGTATGTAGTATCTTTGTTCTAATTAGTTTCAAATAATTTCTGGATTTCTGCCTTAATTTCATTGTTTACCCAAAAGTCATTCAGGAGCAGGTTAATTTCCATTAATTTCTATTTTTATTGCAGTGTAGCACTGTAGTGTGGGAGTGTGGTTGGTATGATTTTTTTTATTTGCTAAGGATTGTTTTATGGCTGACAGGTCAATTTTAGATTATGGGCCATGTGCAGATGAGAAGAATATATATGCTCTTGTTTTTGGGTGGAGATTTCTGTAGATGTCTATTTGGTCCAAGTGTCAAATTCAGGTCCTGAATTTCTTTGTTAGTTTTCTGCCTCAATGACCTGTCTAATATTGTCAGTGGGGTGTTAAAGTCTCCCACTATTATTGTGTGGTTTTCTAAATCTCTTTGTGGGTCTCTAAAAACTTGCTCTATGAATTTGGGTGCTCCTGTTTTGGATGCATATCTATTTAGGATAGTTAAGTCTGACCTTCTGAGGTGAACCCTTTACCATTATGTAATGCCTTTCTTTATCTTTTTTGATTTTTATTGGTTTAAAGTCTGTTTTGTTTGAACTTAAAATAGTAACTCCTGCTTTTTTCTGTTTTCCATTTGCTTGGTAGATTTTTCTCCATCCCTTTAGTTTGATCCTGTGTGTGTCATAGAATGCGAGATGGGCCTTTTCAAGACAGCATACAGTTGGGTCTTGCTTCTTTGTCCAACATGCCACTCTGTGCCTTTTAATTGAGCATTTAGCCCATTTCCATTTAAGGTTAATATTGATATGTGTGGATTTGAAGGATCAAATCCTGTTTTGTGTTGTTAGTTGGTTATTATGCAGATTTGTTTGTGTGGCTGCTTTTTGGCATCAATGGTGTATGTACTTAAAAGCATGTTTTTGTAGTGGTCAGTAGTAATCTTTCCTTTCCATATTTAACACTCCCTTTAGGATCTCTTATAAGGCAGGTCTGATGGTAATGAATTCCCTTAGTATTTGCTTGCCTGAAAAGAATCTTATTTCTCCTTCACTTATGAAGCTTAGTTTGGCTGGATATGAAATTCTTGTTTGGAATTTCTTTTCTTTAATAATGCTGAATATAGGCTTTCAATCTCTGCTGGCTTATAGAGTTTCTGCTGAAAGGTGTGCTGTTAGCCTGATGGGGTTTCCTTGGGAGGTGGCCTGCCCCTTCTCTTTAGCTACTGTTAACATTTTTTGTTTCATTTTGACCTTAGAGAATCTGACAAGTATCTGTCTTGGGGATGGTTGTCTGTGTAGTATCTCACAAAGGTTCTCTGCATTTTCTGAATTTGAACGTTGGCCTCTCTAGTGAAGTTGGGGGAATTTTCATGGATGATATCCTGAAATATGTTTTCCAAGTTGCTTGCTTTCTCTCCCTCTCTTTCAGGGATATCTGTGAGTCATAGATTTGGTGTCTTTACATAATCCCATACTTTGGAGATTTTGTTCATTCTTCTTTAATCTTTTTTTCTTATTTTTGTCTGACTGAGTTATTTCAGAGAAGTGATATTCAAGCTCTGAGATTCTTTCCTCAGCTTGATCGATTCTGCTGTTACATTTGTGATTGTATTCTGGAATTCTTGAAGTGAGTTTTTCAGCTGTATCAGATCAGTTCCTTTCTTTCTTAAAGTGGCCATTTCGTCTTTCATCTCCTGTATCACTTTGTTGTATTCCTTAGAATCCTTTGGATTAGGTTTTCACTGTCTCCTGAATCTCAATGATCTCTGTTCCTATCCATATTCTGATTTCTGTTTTTGTCATTTCAGCCTGGTTAAGAACCATTGCTGTGGAACTACTGCAGTTATTTGGAGGTAAGAAAGCACTCTGATTTTTGAGTTGCCAGAGCTCTTGCACTGGTTCTTTATCATCTGTGTGGGCTGATTTTCCTTCAGTCTTTGAAATTGCTGTCCTTTGGATGGATTTTTCTGCTTTGATCTTCTTTAATGCCCTAGAAGGTTTGAATCTCATATAAGGTGGTTCAGTTGACTGGCTTCATTTCTGGAAGAATTTAGGGGGCAAGGCTCAGCTCAGAACTTTTGGGCTGCATGCTGTAACTTTGGGAGGCTGTTACTGGATCCCTGACTTTGTTCTCTGGCCCCTTGAAGTTAGGAACCTGCTACATTGGAGGGGCTGAGGCGTTCCTGGACCTCTGGCCACAACACTCTGATGGGTAGTGCCAGCCAAAGCACTTCGTTGGGGTGGTGGCAGCAGGATCTGTGCTCATTTGTAAGTGTCAAGAGCAGTGCCAAGAGCAAGTGGCAGTGTGGTGGGGTGAATGCTCATCAACTGGGGCAGAGTGCTGGTGGTCATGGGGCTGCCGGCCTCCACGTGCACACTCGTGCTGGTAGCAGTGTCAGCATGGGGGCAGGCTACTGGTGAGCTTGGGGCTGCCAGCCTCCATGCATATGTTCACACTGGCAGCAGTGGCAGCGTGGGCAGGGGGTGGGGCTGCTGACCTCCATGCATGTGCTCACACTGGCATTTCTATATTTTAAAAGGAAACAGTTTGGCAGTTTCTGATAAAGATAAATCATTACCATATGACCCTAGAGAAATAAAAACTTACGTTCATACACAAACCTACACATGAATGTACATAGCTGCCTTATTTGTAATAGCAGAAGCTAGAAGCAGCCAAAATGACCTGTATTAGGTAAATGAATAAACAAATTGTGTTACATCTAGATCATGGAATTCTATTAAGCAATAAACAGGAATGCACTATTGATGCACTTGGATGGATCTCAAGAGCATCATACTGTGTAAGAAAAAGCCAATTTCAAAAGATTACTACTTTACAATTTCATTTATATAACATTATAAAAATGACAAAATTGTAGTGAAACAGAACAGATATAGTGGTTCCCAGGGGTTAGGATTGAAGAGAGGGAGTACCTGTATAGGAGTAATACAAAATATATCATTCCAAGTTTATTTAGGGTGATGGAAAAGTTCTGTATTTTGATTGTGGCGGTGGTTAAATGCATATATACATGTGAGAAAATTTAATAGGAGTGTATATAAAAGTTGAGTGCATGTAAAAACTGGTGAAATTCAAATAAGGACTATAGTTAATAGTATGTATTCATATTCTGGTTTTGATAATTGCATTATACGTAGGTAAAATATTTTGGGGAAAGTTAGGTAAAGAGTGAATTTGAACATGGAAATTCTGTACTATTTTTGCAACTTCTAAGTAAGTCTAAAGTTATTCCAAAATAAAAAATTGAACATCTTTTATAATAGTTACATTTATTTTCTTTCCTTTCCTTTGCCTCCCTCCCTCCCTTTCTTCTTTCCTTTCTTCTTCCCTCCCTCCTTTCCTTCCTTCCTTCCTTCCTTCCTTCCTTCCTTCCTTCCTTCTTCCTTCCTTCCTTCCTCTCTCTCTTTCTCTCTCTTTCTCTCCCCCGCCCCCCCCCGTTTGTCTTACTCTGTTGCCCAGGCTATAGTACAGTGGTGCAATCAGAGCTCACTGCAGCCTTGAACTCCTGGGCTGAAGTGACCAAGTTACCTTCCCCTATCAGCCTCCTGAGCAGCTGAGACTATCAGCGTGTTCCACCACACCCAGCTATTACTTTTTTTTTTGTAGAGATAGAGTCTCATTATGTTGCCCAGATTGATGATTTTGAACTCCTGGGCTCAAGTGATCCTCCTACCTTGGTCTCCCTTTAAAGTGCTGGGATTACAGGCATGAGCCACTGTGCCTGGTCTGTTTTCTTTTAGATTTTAGACAATGGTCCCTAGAAGGAGGGAGATTTGGAGACAGGAATCTAATCATATCACA